CAGAACCACTGAGCTAAATCCCCAGCCCTCTTCAATTTCTTTCTCCAGTGTTCTGTAATTTTCACTGTAGAAATATTTCATCTCTTTGGTTAGGCTTATTCCTAAGGATATATTTTTTGAGGCAGTTGTGAATGGAATTATTTTCTTTCTCAGAAGGTTCATTATTAGTGTTGATTTTGTATCCTGCTGTTTGCTGCATTTGTTTATCAGATTTAAACCCTTCTGGCAGAATTTTTAGGGTCTTCAAAGAAAAGGTTCATATCATCTGCAAAGTGGGATAATTTGACTACTTTCTTTTCTCTTTGCATCCCTTTTATTGTCTTCTTTTTCCTAATTGCCCTACTAAAATTCCAAGTACTTGAATAAGAGTGGTGAGAATAGACTTCTTTGTCTCATTCCTAATTTTAGAGGAAATGCTTTCGGTTTTTCCCCATTCTGTCTATAGGCTTCTCATATATACCCTTTATTATGATGAAATGTGATTCTTCTATACCTAGTTTCATCAGAGCATTTATCATGAATGGTTGTTGAATTTTGTTGAGGGTCTTTTCTGCACCAATTGAGATGATCATGTGATTGTTAGCAGTGATTCTATTTATATGGTGTATTATGTTTATTGATTTGCATATGTTGAATCACCCTTGTATTCCTGGAATGGAATCAACTTGATTGTGATGTGTGATCTTTTCTGTTTGCAAGAATCTTACATAAAATTTTTGCATTTATGCTCATCAAGGATCTTGGACTGTAGTTTCCTTCGTTCCTTCCTTTGCTTTCTTTTCTCTCTCCTTTCTTTCCATTCAGTCTTTATCCAGTTTTGTTATCAGGGTTATACTGTTATTAGGGTGATACTATGAATAGAATTAATTTGGATGCTTTCTTTCTCTTTATATTTCATGGAATCATTTGAGGAACATTTATGTTCATTCTTCTTTAAAGGTGTGGTATAAATCACAGTAAATCCTTCTGGTCCTGGGCTTTTCTTTGTTTGGAGACTTCATTGCTGCTTCAGTATCTTTGCTTGTTATTGATTTGTTTAGGTTTTTCATATCTTCTTGCTTCAATTTTGGTAGGTCATATGTGTCTAAAAATTTCTCTATTTCTCCTAGGTTTTTCAGTTTATTAGAGTATAAGTTTTCAGAGTAGTTACTAATAATCCTCTGGACTTCAGTGATATATATTGTAATATCACTCAATGTCTCTTATTATTTTGAGGCATCTCTCTTTTTCTTCTGAAGTTGGCAAAAGGCTTATCAGTCTTGTTTATCTTTTTAAAGAACTGACTTTATTTTATTGATTCTTTGCACCGTTCTTTTAGTCTCTGTTTCATTATTTTCAGCCCTGCCCATCATTATTTCTTTCCTTCTATAGCTTTTATGTTTGGTTTGTTCTTGTTTGTATAATACCTTGAGACTTCTCAGATTTTTTAAAAAGGCGCTTAATAGCTGTAAACTTTCCTCTTTGAACTGCCTTTGCTGTATCCCACACATTCTTGTATTTTGCATTTCAATTATCATTTGATGCTTGGATTTAAAAAATTTTTCACCCCTGATTTCTTCAATGACCCATTGATCATTCAGAAATATATTGTTCCATCTCCCTGTGTTTACATAGTTCCTATGGTTTCTCTTGCTGTTGAATTGTTTTCATTTCATTATGATCTGATAAGTTGCAAGTAAATATTTCAAGTTTTTGTATTTGATAAGACTTACTTTATGGCCTAAAATATGGTCTACTTTATAGAAAGTTCTATGAGCTACTGAGAAGAATACGTATTCTGCAGTTGCTGGATGGAATGTTTATAGATGTCCGTTAAGTCCATTGGATCTATGGCGTAGTTTAACCCTGTCATTTCTTTGTTGATTTGGGTTGGGGGGGGGGTCTGGTCTATTGATGAGAGTGGAATATTAAAGTTACCCATTATTATTATATTGGGTTCTATGTGTCCCCTTATGTCAAGTTGTGGCTGTTTTATGAAATTGGGTTCACTGAAATCCTGTACATATGTGTTTACAATTGTTATATCTTCTTGGTGGATTGTATACTTGGCAAATACGTAGTGGCATTCTTTGTCTCTTCTGACTAATTTTGGCTTGGAGTCTGCTCTGTTGGATGTGAGTATAGCTACTCCTACTTGCTTTTGGATACATTTGCATGGAATACTCCTTTCCATCCTCTCGCTTTTCAGTATGTACAGTATATGCACGTGTAGGTGAGATATGTTTCTTGCATGGAGTAAAGAGTTCAGTGTAGTTTTTTAATCCAATATGCCACCCTGTCTCTTAATTAAAGAATTAAGACCATTTACCCTTGGAGTTGTTATTGAAAGCCATGCACTAATTTTTGCCGTTTGTTGTTGTTTTTGATGTTTAATTATTTCCTAATATTCATTTATTAGTGTAGTGTTTTGTGTGTAGTGTTCTTTTACGTATCTTCTGTAATGCTGGCTTAGTGGTCATGAATTCTTTTAGTTTCTGCTTATATTGGAATGTCTTTATCCTTCAATTCTGAAGGGTAGCTTTGCTGGATATAGTAATCTAGGATGGCAGTTAGTTTCTCTCCAAACTTGAAACCCGTCCCAAACCTCCTGGCCCCTAGAGTTTCTGCTTAGAAAACTACTGTTATTTGGCTTGGTTTTCCTTTATAAGTGATTTGGCATTTTTTTATCTTGCAGCTTCCAATATCATTTATTTTCTGTACTCTCAACATTTTAACTGTGATGTGTCACGCGGGAGGTTCTTTTCTGCTCATGCCTCTTTGCAGTTCTGAATTCTTCCTGTACCTGAATATCCATACCATTGTCAAGATTTCGGAATTTTTTCTATTATTTCACTGAATAGATTTTCTATGCATTTAGTCTGCATCTTGAGCCCCTCTTGTATTCCAATGATTCTTAAATTTGCCTTTTTAATCATATGCCAGAAGTGTGACATGTTTTTCCTCATAATTTCTTATTTTCTTCTTTATTGCTGTCTAAATGTAGTAATTCATCAATTTTATCTTTAAGCCCTGAGCTTTTATCTTGTGTTTGCTCATGCATGCTGGTGAGGTCTTCCGTGGAATCTTTTATTTTGCTTTTTGAACTTGTCATTTCCAAGATTTCTGTTTGTTTTGTTTCCAGAATCTCTCATTCTTTATCAGTATGTTATATTATATCTTGTATTGTCTTTCTTCCATTCTGATGTTTATTTGTGTCCTCTTCAGGTTTGTTGATCATTTTTATAATCATTCTTTTAAATTATTTGATATTTCATCTACTTTGATGTCACTGTAATCAGTTACTATGGAAGTAATAAATCTCAAGGGAGTCATATTGCCTGGTTTATTCATGAGATTTGTTTATCTTTTGGGATGGATATGATTAACAAGAGTCCTCTGATGTTTAATCCTAGGAGGAGTACCAGACAGCCAACTCCCTGAGCGGTGGCGCTCTTCCGTGGACAAAGAAATTCAGCCTGGATTATTTGGCCCTAGACTTCAATTCACCGTCACCAGCCCCCATACAGCAGGTAGGAAAGACTTTGTGCCTGAGAATTTCCAGGTGATCTTATTTCTGCTTAGACTTTTCTGATTACCAAACCGTGTGTGTTCTCTTTAGGAGTTCTTAGAAATACAGACATGTATCATGAACAATATTAAAATCAACCCTAATCCTGTCTCCCAGAATGAATGAAATATTGATATATTTCCTTTAGAATATGTTCTTTGGGTGCATGTATATACATAAATGTTACATTAACACTCTTCAAAATTTGGACCCAAAAAGGTAATAGAAAAATTTTCAGATGGTGATGAAGGTGGGCATGGGGCTCTCCAGGCATAGGAAAGGCCTGTTTAGGGAATAGCTTACATCCTAGTCTGGCTCGACTTTATGGAGTGGTAAAAGGCGCTGTAAGTTGAAGTAGAACCCTCAGTAAAGAGCCTTGAATGCCAGGTTGGGCATTTTTAACTCCTTTGGGCAGTATTCTCATCTGTAAAGTAGGAACCAGAAATCATAACACCTAATCAAGGGCCACTGTGGGATTGATTGACTTAATACTCATATGTGATCCTAGCCTTTCACAAACACCACAAACTTCATAGTTTAGGCATGGAATGAATGAATGAATGAACCCTAAGTAGTTGGATGACACTTTTGAGTAAGGGATGGTCATAACCCAAACTGTGTCTAACGATGTACTGTTTGGTGAAAAGAAAGCAACTAACGAGATAGAAAACATAGTCTGATTATTCCATTTATGTGTTTGTAGGGGTAGGGTACTGTGCAGAAACACCTCTGGAAGACTTCTCTCCTCTTTCACTGAATTAACTCATACTTCCCCTTTACCTCTAAATATCGTTCTTAAACCCTGAACTGAGACTCCAGAGAAGCTGGTCAGAAGGATGGGAGCAACAAGTCCAAAGGAACATCAATCAGTTTGGGTAGACTATGCCCTCAAGACAACTCCAAACCTCAGCTACTCATAGCAACAGAGGCTCTTTCAGTTGTCCCACATGAGAAAGCTCATCTTCATTCCAGTGCTCCTGGCAGGGGAAAAAGGAGATTACTGAATCCCAGGATGCCTATTTTCTTCCAAATGTTTACACACACACACACACACACACACACACACACACTAATGTTTCTGCAGGGAAGAAGGGATAGCAGATTCTACCACAGAAGTAGGCATTTTTCTGAATTTTTAAATTAGATGTAATGAAAGCCTTTTTCTTCTCCCACTTCAGAAAGTTATCCTTTCAGAAGAGCAAAGAGTAGACTATGTCCAAGTGGATGAGCAGAAGACCCAGGCTCTGCAGAGCACCAAGCAGGAGTGGACAGATGAGAGGCAATCCAAAGTGTGAGAGGTAAGAGCTTTGACAGTGTGGAACATGGAAGCCCGGGACTCAATTGGCTGCTTTTGTTTTTGTGGTTTTCTTCACTAAAATCACTGCTGGTCGACACAGGTCAACACCAAGAGAGAATGTGTTGTTTTTATGGGTTAGGCAAGAACTTTTAGGAGAGAAGACCCTTCGTGCATTGAACATGCAGAAGAAGGGGGAAGTTTCCTCCCAGAGAGGGATCTGATCTGAGGGAGTCCAGCCCCTGCTTTCCCTCCTCCACCTCTGGAGCCTGTGGCACGAGTTCATTTCTCCACCCTCAAAGATGCTTGTAGTTGGCTCCACAATCACACAAGGAAGAGATGGAGGATTCTACAGTCACGGCGATGTAAAAAATTCCATTCATCCAGGGAGGATAAGAACAATAAAAACAAGACTTGGGAGACTAGTTTCCCAAACATTCTGTTAAAATCTCTCGAATCGAGTATTTGGAGTACAGACTGGAGTCAATGTTGCCTCCGACAGGATAGCAATTTTTGGCACCGATACCTGAAATTCGGTCCTATCACTTGTGCTTTGTTTGGAGTAATAAATTGTCCTAGCAAAGGAGTCCGTGAAGACCATCTTTGTCACTGCCCTTGAAGGCGCAGTTGAGAAGCTCAAACCTAGTGATGGTGGAAGAATCTACACTTCTTACACCAAGGACTCTGGCAGACCATCATTTTTATCGCCAATTCACGGGATGGGCAATGGATTCCAGTTCCATGATGAGCATATCAGATGACACTGATGGTTCTAGTGACGTTGTGTTTACACTGGCTATTCTGTTGCTGTTCATCTTTTCCCAGCATGCTTTCACATATATCATATCATGCTGGATTTGGGCCAAAAAACCCTGATACACAAATGACAACTTGAGAAACAGAGAATTTCTTGTTTGCTTTTTGTTTTGGGAATCAAATTTAGGACCTTGTGCTTACCAGACAGGTGCAGAGCCACTTAGCTATATCCCCAGCCCTTGATCCTATTTTTTTCCCCCTGGTGCTGGGAAGCGAACTCAGGACCTTGTGCTTGCCAGGCAGGCACAATGCCACTGAGCTAAATCTCCTGCCCTAGAAACAGAGAATTTCTTTGAGGAAGGTCAGGGAGCCCTGAACCGACTCAAACTCCCAGATTTATTGGGGAACAACAAAGGCATAGAGTTCTGCTGAGCACAGATGTTTGTTTTAGGTTAGCAAGGCAGGTAGCAATGCATGGTGACAGTTTGGCTAAATAGTTAACTTTTATCTGATTGTCCCCTAGGGAACTTCCTTATTTACCCCAGGCCCATCTCTGTTTGTGTTGGTAAAACATCCCATCTCAAAGACATTCTGGCTATTCAGAGTTAGCAGTCTTTTGCCTCCTAAGTCAACCCAAGCAGACATTGACCTGTTAGGTGTCACAAGGAACTCCACAATATCATCTCTTCCCAAAAGCTAGGTATAGCAGAGACTGGGCTCCTACTTTGACAAACAGAAAACTGGGAACCAGAGGACGGAACACATTGTCTAAGATCACTCATAGAGCTGAGACACAGAGTCAAACTTAGAGATGTCCAGGCTGCCAATTGCAAATTCATTCTACTCTTCCACATTGCCTCTGAAGATTTTGGCAGAATCAATCAGTTGGGTAAATCTAGCCATTATTTCCTTTCCCTCTCATAGGTGTCTGAGTAGGTGCTTTGATACTTGGAAGGTATGTACATCCAAGGAGGGTTTCTTTGTGCAATATTCAACTGAAGCTTTAATATCCATAGTTACAATTAGAAATGCTTCCGATAACCAGTCTTAAATCCAAGCTGGACTACACAGTCTCCTACACAGTTAAGGTGTTTCTCTGTCTGTGAGCAAACTAATGCTGGCAGAGGGATTTTTACCACCTCAAGAAAGATGCATCATCCGTGGATATACTATTATGGATGCAAGTGATAGAAATGACCAGAATAAACACTGACAATGAGTTCTGCTTTCAGGCTTCGTGGCCAGTTTTTCCCTTTTTCATGAGAAATGACTAGGTCCTAGGAGTGCAAACATTCCCACTCTGTAATGGAGGCATTGTGGCCCAGGAGACTCAGAGTGAAGGTTTCAGTCAAACATGGAGTTTTATTTAATACCCCTTCCTGATTATCCTGAGCACTTAGAGCCAGAACACATATTTGAACAACTAAACAGATACTAATGCACCATTCTGACCACCACTGTGTCTTGTATATGAGGATGGATCAAATAAACAGTTCTATGACAGTCAGCATAGGTGGGCAGTTGTAGGCTTTGCTGTAGGGCTTCAGGATCAAACTGCCCTAAAGGTAAGTAAATACCAAGGTCTTGGTTTTTCAGACCATACAAGAAGTCGATTTATAAAGCAACAGGTTCTGGTGCCATCATTTTCTTTGTGTGGCAAAGTAAGGAAAAATTGCCAAATACTTGAAGCTGAGTTCAGGGTCTTTCGTGAACATGGACAGAGCAAGGAGGGAGCTCCCTGCTCCCCCAACTGCAGGGGCACCTCCACATCACATACAGGCCTGCACCTGTAGCGAGCTGCCTTCTTCCCCATGTGAGTGACCAAGAGTTGCATATCTCAGGCAAGAAACCAGGGATGGAGACTGATAGTTACCATAAACGGTAAGGTCCTCATGTGTGGGGCATTTGTGTTTCAATCTTTGCACTGAAACAGCTAGTGCAGAAAAATTGTAGCTCCAAGGATCATGAACCACACCAGATTAAAAGTTACAGCTGAAATTATGTCCATATTGAAATGTCATTCAATTGGAAAAAACAAAAGACTTTCCTTCTTATAAAACCTTCCCAAGAATATATTTGTGGCATGAAGTGTTACACATGTGAGTCATGTGACCTGCTTGGATGTGATTAGTTAAAAACAGGAATGCTCTGTATAGATATTCTCTGTGTTAATAGAAGATGATAGGGGTCAGAATAAATTATTTTCAGCAGGTGACATTACCCTTCCCTTCCAGAGTGTAATGCATTTATGTCTTGCTTTAGTAAAACTGCTGAAGGACAGCTATACCAAAGGACAACAGTTCAGAGAAACAACGTACAAGTAGTTTTTGAGCTGACAGCAGCATATGATTCTGAGAAAGGCACCATTACATCAAAACAGTGCCAGACAAATTGTTTTCTGGTGGAAACAATTGATGTCTATGTAAGACAGGGCTGCGTTTCTGACCAAGAGCCTGGTGACCATTCTGAGTCAAGTACACATGGTGTGTCTCTGCCATGTCTGTGCAGTGACACCTTGCTGCAAGAACTGGGAATCACTGTAACAATGGTGCAATGCAGTGTCAGTCCTGCATTGTTTTCTGTAGATCCTTTTTGTTTTATTTCCAGTGCAGGATGGAGGAGAAAGCTCTCAAACCTTCAAGTCAGGAAGGTCACTGACCCAGGAACACTGGGAGCTAAGCTTTGCTTGGAAAGGGAGGAGCCCTCAGGCCCAGCACACAAGCTAGCTATGAAGGCAGAATGCAGTCCCCTTGGAGTCATTGTACGGGCTACTTTATCCTGGAGCACAGACCGGCTGCGTCATTGCAACTAAGTCCAGGCTGAGGGCTTCTGTCAGGACTGCCTTTCTCCTCTTAATGATTTCCTCAACCTCCATTTATATAATCTCTGTACTCACTGTCACACTGATTTTTCACATTCACTTTTCTTTCATTGTTTCATTTTTGGCATTAATAAAAGTCTTATAAGAAGGAATCATTACGTAAGTTCTCTCTTATTTAAGTGATGACATCCAATATAAATGAAGGACATGCTTAGAAAGCTGAGCGTTTGAAAATAGGTTTCATTACTGCTTTCAAGTACAACAAATCTAACTGGACACATGTATGATGGCCTGTGAGTGTTATTTTGCTACAGTTAAACAGGTGGCTATACTTAGCATGGCTTCTGCTCAGCCAAACCACATTGGACATCTTTTCTCATTGTTCAATAAATAACTAGCTTTAATAAATGGCAGTAAAATCAACTGCTCTCCCTGGCACCAGGAATAACATGACTTTTGTCATCACTAACATGAAGAAGCAATAGCCCTTTGTTTTGGGGGCAGTAGGGTTCATTTTAAAAATTCTTTTTATATCCTAGATAGTACTCCTCTATAGCAAAAGAAGATGGAAAAATGTGGCAGGGGATTTAGCTCAGTGGTGCTGCCGCCTTCCTTGCAAGCACAAGGTCCCAAGTTCAATTCCTGGTATCAAAAAAAAAAAGAAGAAGATGGAAAAATGTTTTACTATTCTGTAGGCTGTCTCCTCACTCTATTGATTGTGTCCTTTGCTATGCAGAAGCTTTTTAGCTTGATATAGTCCCATTGGATGATTCTTGGTGTCAGTCCTTATGCCTGTGGCTTCAAGTTCTTTACCTATTTTATCTTCCAGCAGATTCAGTGTTTCTGGTTTTAATTCTAGGTCTTTGAGGCATAAAAAAGAATGAAATCATGTCACATGCAGGAAAATGGATGAATCTTGAGACCATGTGAAGTGAAATAATTCAGACACAGAAAGTTAAGTATTACATGGTTTCCTTTATATGAGAAACCCAAATTATAGACTAAAACAAAAGACAGATGGTAGGAAACAGGAACGCAGACATTTCGGAGATGGGGAAGGGGGGTCAAGGGAAGGGGGAAAGGGGAGGGGAGGGGGACAAAGGCACCGAAAATGATCAAGATATGATATATCCATGCACCAACTCCCCCAAACAAATCTTAGCTATTATATATCCTAAACATACACTAGTAACAGGAAACCAGTAGCCCTAGATCTGCCTCTTGCCTTTCTCCCTGCCTCTCTGCCTCTTGGGTCAGTGGCATCTCTAGGTCATGAAGCAAGGTGGGAACAACCAGAGCAAGGGTGGGGGTTTGGTTTGGGTTTGGAGGAAACAGGCTAAAGGCATAGAAAGGAAATAGACCCAGGGGATCCTGGTGCTGAGAAGCACAAAGAGGGGCCACATTACATTCCTCATCGTCCCTGGTACTGACAATAAATGCTTTTCCTTGATACACACACTGCAGACCAACCCTCAGATCCAGAGAAGAGCAAGTTGGCCCAAGGAGCTGGCCTGAGAAGCAGGGATCTTAAAACCCAACCCTACATGCGCATCTTCTCAGCCATTCTAAGGTTGCCTTCTTCCCAGAGGAAGCTGAAAGCCTTTTCCACTTGTAGCTCTTACCTTGCAGTGGTGTCCTTGTCCTCCTGGACCCTCTATGGGGTGTATCTGCTACCTTCCTCCTCATACACGGTTGAAGATTCTGTGGCCACAGTGCTATATGCAGTGGTGACTCCCATGCTCAACCCCTTCATTTACAACTTGAGGAACAAATACATGCAGCGAGCCTTGAAGGGCCTCTTCTGCTGGAGCAAGGTCTGGGCTTGGTGACAGCAGCTTCTTCTCAGCAAAGGTGCCCTGTCTCTTCCACGCTGTCGTGAGGGAGGGGACTGTGCCGAAGACCCACCTGACAGGTGTCCAGCTTGGCTCTGCTTTTCTGCTGTCTTCACCCTCATCCACCCGCTCAAGTAACCCTTCCTGTGTGACCCTGGTGCACCAGGCCCTGTGGAGACAGCTTGCTTGTGTGGACTTAATTTCAGTCCACTCCCTAGCCACCATCCTGACACCTTACCTGGCCTGTGAGCTTTGCAGTGTTCTTCCTGCTTAATGTCCGCACAGCCCTGTGCTGGGGTGGATGTGAGGGACCCTCTTATCATCCTCGTGGGTGAGCAGATGCAGGCTCAGAAGGCCCCGCTTTCTCACAGGTGAACAAGTTGTGTTTGGTGGAGACAAAGGGCCTTCTTTCACTTCTCAGGGCAGGCACTCTGCCAAGAGGCGCTCCTGTCCCCAGGAGGCAGGAGAAGCTCGGGTTCTGGCCTCATGGCACAATCCCTGGCTTGGGAGCCCAGTGCAGGAAGCACAGAAAAGTGCCCCTCCCACACTCCCAGGTGGACTGCAGTGTGCCTGCCTGGGGCCCAAGTCACAGGCATCCTTGCTGGCTTCCCAAGGGACGGTCACAGATGAAGTGCAGAGGATGCGCTCACCACCACTTGGGCACATGTGCAGCCGATAATAAGAGGAGCTGTGGACCGCCCTGAGAATTTCCAGGGATGGATGCATTGCGGCTCTGTCTCCATCATGACCTGCACACCATGCCCTGGACAGTCCCTTCCTGAGAGAGAGGTCGGGTCTGTGCCCCTGTCCTGCAGTCAGGATGGGCCCGCGACTGCTTCCACTGGTGGAGGACAGCTGGAGTGATACCTGGTGACATTCCTGGCTCTGTCGCAATGGCAGGGCAGCTTCTCTGTTGTCATCAGAAAGTGTGCTCTGGGAGCCCAGAGCTGCCTGTGAGGAGTCCACTTGCCCTGGAGCCACCATGCTGGGCAGAAGGCCAGTTCAGCAGGGAGAAGCTGAGGGCACTCTGGTCTCCAGAGCCCTGACTCGGTGTCTGCCCACCCAGGCGGGAGAGCTCAAGAGTGAAGACGCCCACAGATGACTCAGACCCTGCCTGCTTGAGATGTCCCCACTGTGCCCGCTGAGATACGGAGTCCACATGGTGCCCTGCCCAGGTGCTGGCCTACCGCATCTGTGGGCACAGCGAAGTGGCTGTCTGAGTGTGATACAGAGATGCAGCAGAAACAGAGCGATAGGAAGGAGCAGAGAGTGGGGGAAGAGTGAATGTGGAAACTGGGAGAGAATACTGAGGGTAGATGAGGTGGGCCACTCTGTAGAAATATATTAATTTCCTGGGTCGACTTCAGAGGCTATAGAAAAGCTGTCCACAACAAAACCATTGGGACAGCTTGACAGGCGGGCAGGGGTTTAGTTGAAAAAAGCAATCAGGCCCAGGAGATGCCGCCGAAACCTCAAGAGAGGGAAAATCTTGGGGCTACCGAAATTGTGGAAGGGCATGGGAAAAGAAGACAAGTGCACCAATTTATGCTTTAAACGGAACGCGACTGACAGCAACCTGGAAAAGCACAGGCCCCGTGTGTGAACATGTACACATGCAGAAAGAGTAACACAGTAGAGCCACTTGGCAGCTGGTAAAGGACACCGCACCATGACTCGCCACTTGGTCTTGATGCTCCTCTCAGTTTCCCTACCTGACATTATACTGTGTTACCACTTTGGCTCCTTCTGTACTATATGTTACCCCAGTAAAATGTGAGCTCCACGATGCTGGAGATTTTGTTTGCTTAATGTCACAGTTGGACATGGTACTCTGCACATATGGGTTGAATGAAGGACTGGGAGAAAGTAATCACCACATTGTAACTTATTACACTGATAGACGGATGAAACAGAGATGAAGATGGTTTTTTTCCTGGTACTAGGGATAGAACCCAGGGCATTCACATTAAGGTGCAGCTCCAGCCCTATTTTCACATACGTCACAAGATGGTCTTGCTAAATCATTGACTAACCCAAGCTGGGCTCAAATTCCCAATCCTCCCGCCTCAGCCTGGCAGAGTGCCAGGATCACAGGTGTGCACCACCATGGCTAAGGAAATATACGCACCTTAACTGGATTTCACTGCTACTGTAGTTGGGGTTCGGGGCTGCTGGGCTGATGGGCTGCTGGGTGCTGGTCTTCTTTTGTGTCTGGAAGATGTCAACAGGGGAGGCACCACTGAAGATGGGAAGGTGGGGATGGCACCGCCGGGGAGCCCTGGGCCTCCACACGGGGACACAAAGTATGGCACCAGGTGGAGACAGGACCCCAGCCAGGGCCTGGTGAGAGGAGAGGTCCTTCCAAAGACAGGATTGTTTTTCACAGCCCAGGGAGTCAGGGATTTAGCTCAGTGGCACCGCGCCTGCCTCGGCAGTGCAATGTCCTGAGTTTGATCCGCGATAGAGCACCCCCAAAACAAACAAACAAACAAACAAACGTGTAGAACACAGCCCACGGAGAACAGGGCATTGAGGATACCAAAGAGCTGGCATAAAAGCACACCCTGTAGTGGCTTGAATTCTCTGGTCTTCCTTCAAAGTCCTGAGATTGGCATTGGGTGGAGGAGAGGCTTAGAAGACACAGCTCTCACAAACAATGGGCTGGACACAGAGCTCATCGTTGTCTTCTTGCCCATGGATTCATCTTCATTTTCACTTCGTCTTTGTCCTGTGTTCCTTTTCTTGCCTTTTCAGCCACAAGAGCTCCATTGTACCTATATCACGTTTCTGTTGGTTGCTGTGGGACACCTCCCCCCCCCAACTCCTCCCAGTTTGTGTGTGGCACCTTGGTGGAGAGGGCAAGATGCTGTCTTGCTGGCATCAACTGTGGTCCTCAGATCAAAGGAAAGAAATGGCTGGAGGGGCTTCTCAGAGGAGGGGGCCCCTGGGCATTTTCCCGTGTGTTTATAGGACACTGAACTGTCAGCCTCTCCCATAGCTTGCCCTCCGCAGGGTGTAGGGATACACGGGGTCGTTTCCCAGGCACCTCCAGCACCACAGAGAGCCACCAGCCTTTGTGGCTAGTTGCAGGATGGAGCGCGGAGTGCACCTGAGGGCCGTGCCAGCAGAGGAGCCTGCTGCTGGGATATGCCCGGATGACTGGTGGCTCCTCGGTCCTCCTGCACACATTGGTGGGGCCCTGCTTTGTTTCCCTAGCAGTCAAGAGGAGGGGGGATGGACAGGTGTCTCAGGCCACGTCCCCATCCTCACTCTCTCCCTTGTGCACACTCAGCCCCGGCTCAACAGGAGGGCACCACGGGATGGCAGAGACGAATGTGGCTGCCGGAGCAAGTGTCCTGGGCAAATCCCGAGGACGGGCACGGGCTGGGATCCACATCCCCACTGTGTCCCCAGGCCTGGACCTCGTGTGCGTGTGTGTAGGGGACAGGACGGGCTGGGCCCGTGGCCATCTCCTCCCCCATCAGAACTCAGCGATGGGGGATGGGCCAGCACAGGGCTCACGGGTGGGGCTGACCCTGCGGGCATCGCGGGGTCCAGCGGCATTCCGGGGTGTCCAGGCCCGACCGAGGCAGCGCCTGTTCCTACCAGGGCTCTGGAGAGCCTGGCAGATGCCCCCGTTACGGAGCTGGGTCTCCTGACGCCTCGGTCCCTCTGTGGCCAAAGGGGTCTGTGGGACTCGGGGCTGGGCCAGCTTGGAGGGGATCAGACACTTGCGGGGCCATCGATGGGAGGCAAGGGACAGCCCTTTGCCTGGCAACCAAAAACTAGTTGAAGCAGGAAGACCAGGTTGGGGGAAAGCAGCCCACCCTGAGGGCCCATTGGCGCAGGCGCCGTGGGCATGTCGTGGTGCACTGTGGGTCTGAAAGGGGTGGGGCTTCATAGGCGCCTTCTTCCCCTCAAGGAGTGCGTAGCCCTCATCCTCGTCGTCGGGGCGGGCTCTGAGGGGACGAACCGAGACACCCATGCAGGCCCCTTACCACGGCTCCAGTGGAGCAGAGGGCCATGAACGTGACCAGGGTGGCACAGTTTCACGGGTTGTCCAGATACCTCGGGGCCCATGGCCCTTTGGGGAGATTGTGCTCGTGGTCAGCAGCCCAAGGATGGACCTGCATGAACTGTATCCTTCCTGACGTGGCCTGCGTGGCCCGTGACGTGGGGGGACAGAGAAGCGTCAGGAGAGGGGCGGCTGGGACTCAGCGGCGCAGGGATGGAGAGCAGGAGAGGCGAGGCTGAAGCCGGAGGCCCGAGGGCCGGGCCCAGGAGCAGGGCTGTGGTCCGGGCCAGGGAGAGCCGGGCGGGCCGAGGCGGGGGAGGCAGAAGCCTGCAGAGAGGAGGCCTGAGGCGCCCAGGATGTGGGGCAGCTGCAGGGCGGGGGTGTGAGGGCCTGGCCGGTCCGGGGGCCCGGTCCCTACAGCACCGTGCCTTGACCACTCTCTACAGCAGCCTCAGGGTGCCTTTCCCATATCCAGGAGAGGCGGAGGTCGCCCGAGGGACCTTGACCCTTCTCAGAGAACACGTTGACATTCGCAGGGAGTTCATGGTGGATGGCAGTTTGTTGACTGTGTCAGTCCTGCAAGGCGCTGGGGCTCTGGGGCCCTGGGGCTCTGGGGCTCTGGCCCCAAGCAAGGGGGCGGCTGTTAATGGACACAGGGAGGAGCCTAAGTGTTAGGACCAAACAGGGTGTGGGCTGTAACCTAGCTAAGAGTCCTGACTATTGGCTGGAGTTTCCTTTTCTCTCTTTCAGGGGATGGGTTGACCCGGACCGTGACAGCCTCCAGACAGTGTTCAACCGCTTCCTCGACGACCTTGCCCTGCTCTTGCGGACCATGCGGTGCTTTGGGCCCCCATTTCCCCCCATGTCTCTGCCAGACAAAGGGGGCTGAAGCCCAAACGCCCATGCCAGACAGCTCATCCTTCCCTAGGCCCTAAATTCCTGAATTAATCATCACGTCCTTCTTAGACCTTAGTTTTTCCTGCCTTTGCTAGTTACTCATTGGGTGCTCGGGGCCCACTTGTTTTGTTTCCCTGTTGTTGTACAAGACACAATGAAATGTGTGTCACTGCAGAAAATAAAGCTGAGCAATGATTCCATGCCTGAGTTTCTTTAGCTGAAGCATCTCCCTACTCTAGCTTTTTCCTCTGAGGACAAAGGCAACTGCCTGGGGGGGACACGTAGTTACAGGTGGAGGTAGAGGTGGAGTTAGTTAATTCAACAACACCTGGATATAAATAGCCCAGAGGACAGGAGTATTCACACCCATGGCCAGGAGGTCAGGAGAGCAAGAATATTGTGCTGCTGGACTGAGGGGCTTGGTCCTGCACCTGCTCCTGCAGGACCCAAAGCAAGGCACTAAGGAAGTGGGCTCCAGTGGGCTGAGGGCATCGTGGCCTAGTAACTGACTCCAGGGGCCTCACCTCAAACTTCCTGCATGGGGCTCAGCCCCCGGGACCTAGGCTCAAACCAGCCCTCGCCCTTGGCGGGAGGACAGCTCAGGAACCAGGAGCGTCTTCCTCACCATTTCTACCACCCTTGGCTGATGCTGGTTGGGAGGCTACTGACAAGAGGCGTCTCTGTCCAGGGTAGTGAGAAGCTGGGGAGAAGAGGCCCCTTTGCCAGGCTGAGAGGAGGGTCCAGTTCCTCCTGTGCAAAGCCCCCAGTCCCCAGCCACCTCAGCTCATCCTCCCCCCAGAACCACTGCTCACTGCTCATGGTTCCTCATGGTTTGGTGTCAGTGGATTACAATGGATTGATCTGTCTCATAGCGAGTGGAGTCTCCTGTGAGGCAGGAGTGGGAGGGGGAGCAAAGTCCTTTCCCTGTCACAAGAAATTTGGTTCATTTGCACATGACAGCTGTCTCAGGTTATAAAGACAGTTGCTGGGTGAATGTCCTTGAAGAAATGCTTGTTTCCTTCAGGTTGTTTTCTTAATAAAGTTATTGTCCACAAAGACAACATATACAGGAAAACAATCAAAAGGGAGCATGGAGGTGAATGGAGCCCTGGGCAGGGATGGAGCGGGAAGGGGTCATGGAGGCTCCTGGTGTAAGAGTCTGAATATGTGGGGAAGGAGAGGTGCCCCCTGAGGTAGTAGGACTCAGTGCAGACCCCATCATGACCACCTCTGTGTAAGGCGCTGTGCCAGGGAAGCATGGTGGGGAGGCCAGAGAGGGTGGGAGGAGGTGTGGAGGACAAAGATTTGTTGAAGCAGGACCTAAAGTAAAATAAGCCTTGGGAAGTGCGCCCCACCTCGGATCACCACCGCCACCGCCACCACCACCACCTCCTCCTCAGAGCTGTAACTCCTTATTCTGTGACAGATAAAGTACACAAGGTTCTTGGCAACAGAGTCCAGTGACGACCTGACTTCCCAGGAACCTGCCTTCCTTCCAGGCTGGCCTCCCCGCTGCCCCAACCCGGTACTCATAGGGCAGACAGTTACATTCCTGTAAATGAGATCTTTGAAAACCTTAAGGAACTGTATGGCCTTAAAAGATACAGATGAGGGCCTGGGGTTTAGCTCAGTGGCACTGCGCCTGCCTCCCAAGTGTAAGGTCCTGAGTTCGATCCCC